TTTAGATTATCTACTATAGCTTAAAATTTCAGATTATATTCCCTTCCAAACCCTATAACTTTTGTCCGGAACATTTCTTTCTATTTCGTTTTATTTTTTATATATTTATGTTTCTAAATATATAAATTATTATTAAATGGCTTAAATGACTATCCTGTATGTATACTGAATAAGCACATTTATACATATTAAAGTAAAGGCATATCAGAACCCGGGAAAAAATGATTATATATGATTATATATAATTATATAAAATCATATATGAATTTTGTTCATATATGTGGTTACATATGCAATCATATATGTCCATATGAAAGAAGGATTTTATGTCATTTCATTAAATGTCAATATCATGTGCTGTCAGAAACACAAGTAGCCAGAAGCATTTACTTCGGTTGTATTTGCATATAATTTGTAAACAACAGTATTTTTTTCGTTGTGGACATACATGATTACATATAGTCATATATGGGCAAATTTCATATATGATCTTTTTTTTCCCGGGAAAGGACATACTGGATCTCACAGAGTGCTAAACTAAACAGCAAAAAATAAGTGTGCCAACGAAGGATTAAAGGAGATCGTCCATCCATAACTTCGATGAGCGTTCTGAAATCAAGGAAGTAGAGGATTAAAATGGAGGAAACAAATAGCAATACAGAGATTAATAAGTTCATGTAGCTTCGTTGGTTTCCAGCGGTGATACAGCGACCTGCTTATACAATGCACCTCACGAAGACGAGGCACTACCCCGAGTACTTCCGGGGAAACTGCTATCCTTAGACGCGCAATGTCGGAAAGATCGTGGGACGAGCGCTTGTTTTGTATGTGCTTCATATATATATATATATATATATATATCATACGCACATTCGTCAGTTAATATTCGTGTGTTGTATTTTGCTATTGTGCATCCTTTCAGAAAGACGATCGGGTTTGTGCTCAGCTTTTCTGTTTCGACGCTGGGTCCGGATATTGTGTGGCGTACCGTCCAGCAGCGGAAGGTTCACCTTGTGGGGATGGTCAGGTAACGAGGAAAATAAAAAAAATAAAACAAAATTGTGCCGTTCCTCAGAATATTATCTGATAAAGCACGTTGCGTTTAGTCCTTTCGAGTCTAACGGAATTATATGTTTACTGTTAGTATTTCTTTTCCTGACGAAATATATAAGTCCAATTTATAATAAAAATATAATTGTTAATGTAATTTTTGTACTACACATATGCGTAAAAAATGTAATTGTTGTACTACACATATCGAAAGAACACCTTTCAGTGTAATTTATTTACTTTTACAATAGATAATTTTAGAAATTAAAATAGATAATAAGAGACAAGCATGGTGTTTGTCATAGAAGGGAGATTCCCCGTTGAAAATCTGGCGGAATATCGGCGCGTGCATCATCCCTATAAACACGTAATATTCCTAGAATATTATATGAATATTATTCAATATTAAAATAATATTCTTATGATATTCTAAGGATGTTATGTAATATTTTTTAATATTATAGGAATGTTTTATCGATCCTTATATGTCCATTTCACATAAGATTCTTGGCATATTATAGAAATGTTCTTAGAATATTAAAAATAAAGTTAAATAATCATAATATAGAAAAAAATATTTATTATTTATATAACACAACAATTGGTATTGCAATACATTTGAAATAAAACACTACAATTGTATATATTATATATATACAGAGTTGGATATTTAAAAAAGTTGAATATTTAAAATATATATAATATTACAATAACATTAAATAATATTATTTTTTTAATATTATTAGGAGTGGACATATAACCATCTATTAATATTCCAGAAATATTATTTAATATTAAATAATATTACGCGCTTATAAAGATCACACTGTCGAATATATTTATCCTCCAAAATTAAAAAAAATATTCGCACTTAACAACCGTGCTTGGTTCTTATTGGCCTATTCTAATTTCTAACATTTCATTGTACATCATGACAATCTAATACTATATAAATAATTTTCATCTTAAAAATTGATGTCATTTCCAAATAACTGATTTCATAAAGTTAACTATATGCTTTGTGTCACTAAAAAATTAATCCAATATTAATTAATTAATATAATATTAGCGTGATTTTTAGAAAGATTTTAATTGTGATTGTCGTGTGACATTAAATTTCAGTATTGCCTGAATGGAAAGTGTGTGGCGGAACACGAGAACATAATACCGGACTATACGCAGAACATTCCAACGTATGTACGTCGAGATAGCATTTTCAGTTCTACGTTGCACAATCGGCCGATATTCACTCAATACAACAATAGTGATTACAGGTAATGATCCGATAACACGAGTGATCCTTTTGATTTTATTAAGCGTACAAAAGGATCAGAGAATTCTAATTGTTTCGCACATATTGCGCGTTATGTGCGTTATTTCCATTATATATATATACATATATATATATAATTTTTTTTATTTATATATATTTTTCTATATTATTATTATTTTTTTTGTGATATTCTAAGAACATATTTATAATATGCCAAGAATATTATGTGAAGCGGACATATAATATCACTAGAACATTCATATAATATTAAAAAATATTACTTAATATTCCTAAAATATTATAAGAATATTAGTTTAATATTTAATAATATTCATATAATATTCTACGAATATTACACGCTTATAGAGGAATAACCCGAAGTATCATATTTATCCGCTATTCGAATAATCGGCTATCCGGATAGTGTCAGATCCGAAAGAATATTGAAACCCAAATTTATTGTACGATAAGAAGTCGTTACTTTGTCGGTATGTTGATTCGCATCTATAGATGAATAAGATACTCATTCACGAATGAATACATATAATAAGACATATTGTATAGTAATGCCATGATAATATGCCACGCAGGTATCCATGGGAATCAACGACACAGAGCACACCACTATCGAAATTAAAACATTCGTCGCCATACGCGAACGTAATCGCATCGACAGCGACGACGACGACAATTACGACTACGACGACGATGACCAAGACGATAACGACGCCGAAAACGATTAATCCTTACAAACGCGTCATAGTACCATTCATCGTGTCCACGCCCACAGTGCCGAAATACACACAGACGAGCGTCGATATTTTCTGCACAAATCGATTTAAGACTAGATATAACGAAAGCAATAGCGGTAATAGCAATAGTTGTAATAGAGATGGTAACGTCAATGCCACCACTAAAAGAAGCATGAGTCTCTTTAACTCGCACTATACCGGCAGTGCCGTTCCGAAGGTCACTGTTAGTCCGTTCAAGTATAAGAACACGGTCAGCATGATGTCGCTTTCCACGACAACCAAAGGATATCAGAAAAGTCTTCGAAATGTCGGCCGCGGTAAGAGAATTCTGAATCAGTGTATCTGTATTCTCTTTTCTTCTCTTTCTCTCTCTCCCCCCTTTCTTCCTCTTTTTCTCTAGACTCGGAACGAATCTCTAATTCTGCATGGATAATCGGTGATTACATTTATGCTCTCATAACTCGCCATTTTATGTCTTTTCTATCCACTTTCCTGATCTCTGATGGACCTCGTTACGAGAAACTTCTCGAGAGACACAGAGGGCTCCCGTCTTTCACCTCATGTCCGCTGTAATTGTTGTTGGCCACTTTTTTGCGATGATACTCGCAAAAATATATCTGAAGACTGTTTCTCGTTATTTGTATAATATATCTTCCACTTTTGTCTTTCTCTTAAGTCAATAATGGGATACACCAGAAGAATCGTGAACCGTACGCTGCTGCAATCTTCAAAGGAAAGCTCTAATAACGGTTGTCGTTCATTGTGGTTCGTTAACACTAATCTGTTGAAATCCGTCGAAATCGTGATAATAAACGCGATAATATCGATCCAATTAACACACAAGTATGGGGAAAGTTGATTATCGCTCTTGATTTAACAGTTTATCTCTTTTATATGTATATTTAATGCATTTTTCTGTAGTACAGGCTGTCCCATTTCTGTTAGATGTAACCGCAATGGCGGATGTTTAATTTCGAGGATGAAAATGTCGCGAGAAATTATCGGCTTCTACATTTATTATTAACGACGATATTCTCGCTGAGAAAATCAATTGCAAATTAAACGAGGACCCCGTTGTGATTGGGGGATCTGACAGAAATGGGAAATTTCCGCATTATCTTCTTGTTGTTTCTTCGATAAAGATGCATATAAGCATTACGCTTATGTGTGGAACCATATCGCCACTCTTCACGTCACTTTTCATTGAATTCACTAAAAAGACAGTGAGATATAAATATACGTAATATTTTTGTGTATAATAGTTTGACGCAACAACGACAAGCCTGAGTTATTATGCAACATTTAATCCTGTTCTAGATTTATTTACGACTAATCGAAACACGTTGATTAACACTCGTCTGCAAGTCCTCAGACATCTAAAACGACACAAAGTGAAGGCGCACGAGATTTAAATTAAATGGAAATTGAATTTTTTCTCCACGTGAATCTGACAAATGAATTCAAATATTTTCATTTTAAACCCGCTTTAAACAATTTCTAATTTACGATGAGATTCAAGGTGGTAGTCTATTTGTAATTTCTGATTAATTTCACTTGATGAACAGTATTTGAAGACTTACAAATGTGCGATACTTTCTCACAAATAGAATTCCACTTCAAATTTTGACGCGAATTACATTATAATCAATAAATTCGTCAAAAGTGCAAACTTTACCTAGATCTGGGAAGTAACGCGTTACTTATAACGCCATTACGAATTATTTTTTTTGTGACGATTCGATAATGACATTAAATTTTTTGTTAGTAACGTAGTTATATTATTAATATTTTTTGTAACTGTAACGAATATAATCGTTATTTTTACCGTTACTTTGAATATATACAATATACACACACATACATATATATATATATATATATATAAAGTGGTGAAAATGTTTTGGGACAATTGAATATCTCGTAAACACTGCATTAAAAAAAATGTTTCTTACAAAAGATGTAAAGTTTTAAAAAGATCTTTCGAACTTGATGAAAATTTAACGGAATTTGTAATGACTCGTTACTTCTCGAGTAACGGTAATGATAACGAGTTATTTTTCCAATCAGTAACGAGTAGCGATAACGAGTTACTTTTCAAAAGTAACTTTCTCAACCGTTTTGACACTAATTAACCGTTTGCTTTCAGGAATAGAGGCCGGTGAATGCACGGACGTAGGGTCAGATTGCGCGGAGTTGATTGACAGGCTGAGAATATGGCTGTGCCATCTACAATCTGTGAAGAGTCGCTGCTGCGCATCCCTGAAGACAATCTGTGCTGATTAATAATATTAAAAAAATAATAAAATAAGGCGAAAAAATCGGTTCGATAATTTTTGCTCGATGATATCGCGCTTACTAAACGCCCGTTGTGACACCATCCTGGCGAACAGAATGAAAAGCTCGAAACCGAACTGACGATCGTCGATATTCTCTGTCTCGCGGACAGGCTCATCGTCAAGGTCTTCGATGCTCTTGCGGTCCTTACGATCGGAACAAGTGCGACTACATTTCGAATAGCTATGTAGTATATGTATTTCACTCCTCTCTCTCTCTCTCTCTATCTATTTTTTTTTCTTCCCTCTCTTTCTCTCTCTTTCTACCCATACCTGCGCTAGACCTGATACCTAGATATCATTCGTTTACATCGTAGATACGGTACCGCCGGAGCTTTGCCACACGTGTACCGGATGTAGTGAATCTAAGAGCAGAGCGGACTGATTGTCGATCGGTATGATATTTGACCGCGAATATAATTTATTCGATAAGAAGCAGATCTCTCGCTAAAGATTCGCTTTACCCGAAGTATAGGTGCGTCGCACATGTACGTGCCTGATGAGACGCACTTGCGCGAAAGAAACCATTCGAAGATTATGGAAATTGTTTAACGCAAGACAATAAATGGGAATACTTAAAATCTGATGTATTATGTGTACACCTATCTACTTATTGTTTATCTTTATATAGGCTGTTTCATTTCAATTGCCTCAGGCTAATATCTCGGAAGGAAATCGTCCTAGCAAAAAATGTTTCATACAAAGGTTGTACGGTTTAGAGGGGGACAAAATAATGTTTAATTAACACTCATGTTCGTTCTATAAAACACTATGTAAAAAATTCGGCATACCTCATTTGAAACATTACAAAAGGATCTTGCTCGAGGTCACTGTATCGTAGCGCTTTTCTCTATAAGAATTGGCAGGGGACGAATTAGAAGCCACGCGATATGCGAAAAAAAAATCCTCTCTTTGCGTTATGCGGATCTGCGTCAGTGTCGATGTATTTGTGATGCAATCTGTGATATGTGTCCCACTTGTAAATCGGATACTGAAAATTTAACATAAGATTAATCGATAACGTTTAATAATGGAAAATTTAATAATGATACAAAATATAGGACGAACGTATGCTTTTGATAAAACCATCGCATTAAATGTACCGCGATGTTGTGAAAGCAATGGGAAAAATAAGTGAAAAAAATAAAAAAGATATATACACAGAAAACTTACTTGGTATGCGGCAGTACGAAAAATTATCAATATTAGTTTCACTAGCCATTTTGCCTTGTAAGCTCGATGGGATCATAATCGATGAGCATCAGCAGTAATGCTAAGCGTAGTAAAGATATTACAGAAGACGACTGAAAATTATAATGATATAATTGTGTGCTCTTTGATAATAAGTAATCCGACGTGATATCGTGCATGTCATTCATTTATAAAGCATTAGATTTTTTGTGTGTACTATGTACGATTTGTTTCATTATGGAAGTTATATGATTTACGTCAGCATCATATAAACAAATTAAGACAAATAAATGACATATATACCCCATACGATGGTCCAAAGTTTAGCTTGTAAGCATATCAAATACAATCCGTACACGGTAGCAAAATGAGCAACGCTAAATATAATAAAAAGCGACCAAACGATGTTCCACTTATAAGCATTCGTAAGTTGCTTCTGCAGCCCTTCCCATTACGCAGGAATTTTTGGGATTTCAGTATCCCAGATACGTTCGTTATCATATTGGAAAATTTCAATTTGATAAACTGTAAAGTATTGCGTTGGAACAAAAGATAGATATTCCTCGAATATTCTTAGAATCTATATAATTTACATGTTCCGTTAGGAAGAGGTTATAAATAACGAGGATAATATTATATATTCAAAAAAGTTAAGAGCTGAGAATGGAAATAGTGAAGAAATGCCATCGAGGAAGTGATATTATTATTTTTTATAATATATTATTGTACATGTTATATATATAATTTAAGTAAATAAAAATTTCAGTAAGGAAACAAGTTTATAGAACCGGAACCGGAAAAACCATAATTTAAACGGTTTATCGGTACTTTCATCGTCCAGAAAACCGAAACCGGAACTGAACAGATATTTTCATCCAGGCCCTTAGTAGTATTTGAAAAAAATATTCCTGTTGAAAAAATTCGTTAAGTGGAAATATTTGTTGTCTGCAACATTTTAAAAGACGGGGATTTTGACGCTGATTAATTTAATAAATTTACAAGTTACAAACTTAAAATATACAGTTGTCCTTGATACAAACTAACTTATAATTATAAATTTTTTAAATTTACGTAAGATGAGAAATCGCCTACGAAACTTTCACGATAAATAAAATAAGCTATTTTATTTAACCTCCGATTGAATCATAACTAAGTTTAATTCAACTACCTATAACCAAGTTTAATTTTGTATTACAAAGAATTGCAAATAAACGTGTATGTGAGCCAGTGCGCACTTACCTATGAGTAAAAGCATAATTTTTATTAAGTCAGTATAATACAGAGAAAAAAATGTGACTCCTTAGCATATACAAAGGACGTGTTTATACAAGAATTTGGCAATTATGTTACAGTTGAAGACAGGAGACGGCGGAAAAGAAGTTGTTCGCATTTGCTACTCATTAGGCTTGTTCTTTTTAGCTGAACTAGTTGCAATAGCCTTGCACTAGTTCTCTATTTCGCTTTCCTTTATACAAAGTCACAGCTACATATCTGTTTCTTTTTAAATTCTGGAAATGTGCACTAGTTCAGCGACAAAAAACAGACCCATTGGCAAAACATCTTGCTGTTATTTTATTCTAACGAACATAGCGTGAAAGTCACGTTATCCGGTAAATCTCGTTCACTACGAGTCTCTTATCACACAATGCACATTCATCACGTTATACTATCTGTTACGCTTGTCAAAATACCTGCTCTCCAGTTCTCGCTTCCGATACCGACTGAAGGTGTTCCCGTAAAGAGAATCTCGCGTCTCGATCTTGTCTACAGTTTTCCGACCGACTTCTAATTCGCAATTTCGGAACGGAGAGTGCCTTGTGTCATCGTTGCTCTCGGTGTCGTGGAACTTTAGCTGCGTGTAATCGTCATTATGTGACCGTTTGATGTATTTACGACACCGGTCGTCGTCTTTCACTTTCTCTTCGTCGTCGCTCGCGAACAACTCCGGCTTGGATTCGATCAGATTTTGTATCTTGTCCAGATCTATGCTGACTCTGACAGTGGGATCGTCAAACGTCATGCACCGGATCGAATCGCTGGAATCGCACGCGTCGATCTGTCTATTCGAGATGCTGAGTTCGTTGAACATGATGTTCGGCGCGTTCGTAACCGTCCGGGTCTGCGATCTCGTTCGGTCCGGATGACTGTTCGTGCTCTTCCTGTGGTTCGCGTAGAGATTGCGCGAACGCGACGCAGTCCGAGAACCGTTCGTCGCACGTGAGCCGTCGGCTCCCTTGTCGTCGGTACGCCGATTCGATGTGACGGTGACATTATTCTGCAGTACTTTCTCAACGTTTCTATTCGTGCGCACGATATTCAGATCGGAGTCGATGTTGTGTATCGTGCGTCTATAGGACAGCCGGCCGTTCTCCTCCGTAACAGGCGTAGATTGCTTGCGCTGTACACCCTCCCGATGATCGACTCGCGGGCTTTGGTCGTCATCCTTACCCATGTTGCTATCCGTAGTAGTGTTATACATCGCTCGGTCTAACGCCTTCGAGTTAACGTCATCCGTGAGACGCGTCTGGGCGTCGTATTTACGCTGTCGCGAATCGTTCGTCGCGTCCACGTCGTTAGCACCGTTCGCCAGGCTCACGTTATTCGATACAACGTTACGAGGGACCGTTCTCGAGACTGGATCCAGATTCTCCTTCGCGTCGTCGTGCGCAACGACCGTCGCCGCGTCAGCCACGCGTTCAGTCGTGTCGTCGGTCAAACGACTCATGAGGGAATCATCGTTGACGTGATCCGAACTGGACAAGGCTTCGCATTGCCTCTGAGAGCTAAGTGACCGTTCTCCCAGCGCCCCTATTGTTGTATCCGGCCTATTCTTGCTGCCCATCGTGGGGTTTTCCACAGGTATATTCACACAGAACGTGTCGAATAAGGTCATCTACGAAAAACGTAAACAGATCACAATGTAGCGCCTTGAGTCAGTTATGGCGTTGAATACACCCGATTAGTGATTGCGTGTGCACACAAGGTAGTCTAGAACCGATTTAGTAATATCTATACAGATACCAAAGCCAGCATGAAATCAATTCGACAATTTTCGATGTTGTAACTATTAGTGTTATGTGTTGTCAGAGTTGGGTAATTTAAGTAATCAGTTAGTTAAAAGTTGAGAAGTTAGAGTTAATAATTTTTAACTTAACTTGGTTAATTTTTAATAGGTTAACTTGTTAACTTAAACTAGTGATTTAAGATACATTAACTTATTAATTCTCTTCCTATAAATTAAATAATTCATCAATATTGAAATTATTGCGAGTTGCTCACATTAAAGGATAACAGAAATAATGTTAACAGAATTATTTTTTCGCCCCCCCCCCCTCTCTCTCTCTCTCTTTCTCACGCTCTTTTCTTATAGAATTCTAAGCCCAAAATAGTCGATATTTTCTTATAATAGACTTCATTATTTCACATTAATTTACGATGAAACGGTTTTTTATACAAAAAAAAAAAATATATATATATATATATATTTCGTTGAAAATATACACGAATCGTGAAAATATACACGAATGTACAAATCCGCGAAAGTATACACGTTTTACCTGAATGTTATCTATTCCGCAGATTCGGAATTTGAGATCGTGTAGATTCATGTACTGTGGTATCAATCGAGGTTGATGACAGGTGTTATGGTTATTTGTGACGTGGGGGAAGACGTCACACTGGGTCCTGCCACTTCGACTGCGTGAAATAGCGGACATGATATGCATGGTATTGCTGCACAGAAGTACATTAAGGTATCATTAATACATCTTTTTGCTGCTCGTACTCATGCACATATTGCTTTTCAATTATAACATCGAATAACAGTACATATTGTATTGTGTCTGTGTGCCGAGTTAAGAAGTAACGCTTTCTTTGTAAAATTGTTACCGTTAGAAGTTACATTTCTTCAGTATTAATTTAGTGGAAGAGCATTTTCTTTCTCATCAGCAACTGCAACGATATTGAAATTTGATTGAAATTTCAACATTTTAACGAATAACGGTGACGAGATATTTTTAAGAAGTAACTTTCCAAATTCTGTTTATGTGTGTGTGTAAATTGTAATTATTGCTTTTTCGTAATTACTTGTATCGATCGAGGAAATTGCTCTTCCAAAGCGCATAATAAATTCTTTCTTTAAGAAAACTCACCCCGACAATCGATCCGTTTACAAATCAGGTCGCAACAAAGGAAACAAAGAACAATTAATAAGAGAATATGTGAAAGGTACGGACTGCTCACAGATAAACCGCACCTCAAATGCGGCTGATCTGAGGACACTGCATACCTCAAGCCCGTAGTCGTGGTTTGAAGCTTGCTTTATATAAAGTATTCAGATATGAATTTCGAATTAGATCCAGATTTTTCAATTATACGATATATGTGATATCAAATTTACAACCGTGACTTACAACTGCACAATAAAAAATTTCATGTTAAATTTAACACATTTCACATATAGATAGATACTGATAAGTATTGTTTACATTGCAGAAATTTTGAGCTATCTGTGTATTACCACAGTGTACGTAAGTACGTGTCCGCAGAAAATATGACACTTGAGCAAACAAACCCAAGAAACTTCTTAGTTATTGTAAATCGATAAACACTGTTTTGCTATCTCATAATATATGCTATAAACTTGTAAAAAACGTAATGAATTTTTGTTTAACTATTTCATGTATAAGTGCACAACGAATAAAACTTAATTTTCCTAACTGTACGTAAGTATACGTCCGCCACTGTATGTTAGATTAATATACGAATATATTAAAAATTTAACACAAAACTTTCAACAAAGACCGATTTTAATACAAGTACAAAATGTTTTTTATTGTGTGGGAGGAAAAATTTGCATATTTAAATTATGCAATACATGCATCTAAATCAGAATTCAAATTTAAGTATTCCACTTCAGAGTTTCAAGTAACAATTATTAACAACTTAAATTTATAACATTAGGTAGATTTATAACATTAAGTACGCCTTAGATCTTAGTGAGAAGAAATAAAGATTAGACTATCGATAAACAACTATTATATTAAAGTAAGGCACTACTCGGGCGTAAAGGATTCGCATTACCGCTGCCATATATTCATTAAACTCACCTCTCATCACAGGCTTTGCGTTTGGAATTTCTTCTAGTTCTCGCAAATCTCGGTGAATCTCTCCTTCGGACGACATCTCTAGTGACTCCCGATGTGTCTGACGTATCTGCTCCGGCAGTTTTTGCCTCGGAGAAATAGGCAGGTCTTGTTGGCGCAACAGCAGGATTGGTCCTGCCTGCATCCCCGTCACACTGTTAGAATCGCAAGACATTCACTGGAGAGGAGGTACGGGGAAATTTCTATTACAACACATACTCCCCGCACCGTCTTTCTCGCCAGAATTTTAATTTTGTATGTATTATTTCGTCGGATATTGGAATACTAGAGAGTGTAGAAGATGAAAAGAGATGAGAGATCGAAAGATTTTGTGAACTACATTTACACGACAACCTAAACCAATGCAGTTCCGTAATTCACGTTTACGTGAAATAGCATAGAAGCGGTTTAATAGTTTCTGCTGGTGCTACCATCGATGTTACGCGTCATATAAATAATGTTATAACTATATAGGATGTTCAGCGTAATAGTCTGCACTATTTTTGGACGCTTCCGACCGTAAAAAAAAAGTTGAAAGGTGAATATTCGTCTGTTTCATATAAGCTACAATTTGCAATAAAAAAATTGAATAAAAAATTTTTTTATAACAAATTAAAGTCACCTTGAATTTTGTAAATAGCACCATGCAATTTTTCTTCATAATATTGTATAAGATTTTAAGAAGAATTCAACACATTATCGGGAGAATGTCATTTTTATATTTAATATTAATGAAATGTATCAATTTAACACTAAAACTACCGACGATTAACGTATACCTTTTTACCGGAGCAGTTTAAATAAAATTTTTGAAAAAATACGTAATGCGAAGGAAAAAAATATTTATTCGTTTACATGTTGCGAGAAAGTGATGTAACTTTTATAAGAAAAAATTACAAACCGGTCATTTGACCGCTCTGGTAGTTTAGTGTTAATATAAAAAAATATCACTTTAATATTTAATATCAAATTTATATTATTTTAACATTTCCTTACTGCTATTGAAACAACGATTAATATACACTTCGAAAGAAGACTCAGAGAATACCAGCAATCACTTATGATAATGTATTATGTATTTACAATGCGAAAGTACCCAAACTTTTAATGTTTGTTTATATTTCTAGTCAGAGTTTATAAATACTATTTTACTGCTGTTTAAAATAATACTATAAATTTTATATTAAATATCGATAAAAAATTACACTCACGATAGTGCGATAAATTCGTCTTAAATCTTATTTCGCCCTATTTCGTCTTAAGTCCCTTATAATATCACGGAAAAGTTCAAAGTGATCTTGATCTTTCATGAAAAATTAAAAAAAATTTTTTTTTTATTGTAAATTGTAGCTTGCATGAAATGCTCCGTACTGAATATTCTGTGTACTGTGGCTGCGTTGAGAGAGCACGTTATCAGCGCTAACGCGTCATTTTATTTTTGTCCCTCATTAGATATGCGACAAAGATGGAATGACATTTCATCGCTGATTAGCACTAATAGCGCACCTCCGAACGCACCCTGTGTATAACATGTTACACTAATAATTGCAGTATTATCGAGACTTATCGACTTTGGATGATTTTACTCTGGTCATGCGAACGTAGATTACGGATATTACCAATCATCTGATTCTCGAGAATATACGAAAAATATCGCAACGGTCTATACGGCGCTCCAAAGCGTTTGCAGCGCAAAATGGAGTCCTAGTTATCGTATGCGATATTTCTTACATATTTTCGAGAACCCAGTGTTTAGGTTGTAAAAACAAGACGTTCTTCACAAAAAAGTATATCGTTACAAAGAAGTATCGACGAGTTCTCGCATCAGAGACACCTATATGGAACTTCGTGCGAACCAAACTGTCCAAGGTAAAAAAACCTTTCGTCATCTTACGAAACAACAAAAGCTTTATTGCATTTGTACAGATAAAAAACCTCATTTTATACTTTTACAAAATACAACTGAACTTTTTTAAAACGTTTGAGCAAGTTACTTACTACTATCCTGCTCGAGGACTCGTTGCCTGCGGTAGGACCATGTGTTTCCTCTCTCGGAGGTCCAATTTGCTGATTGTTACTTGACCCTCTCGTCTGCTGACTGTTGTTCGTGTGGATCACTTTGTTGATCGGCTGAGCCTTGACTAAAGATTGACGGTTCTTAATCATAGCGGTGTTTTGTATAACCGGCGGTCGTGTGGCGTTGCTCGACGCGGCGGCATACGAACTCTCGATTTTTTGAGTCGTCCGACTTGATGATATCGGCTGGGTATTCATATAAATCAAGTTCGTCGGCGGGGCTTTATAGTAAATCTGCCTGCTGGACTGAATTACGGGCGTGATCAACAGCTCACTACTCTGTGGCACGACGATCTTCGAAGCGCTTTTTTTCGGCTGATGACTGGACTCGACGGTCGCGTAAACTGCGTCCGTCTTGTGCGTGCCAGCTTGCGCAGATGTATTGTGCTTTTGACCGGGTATGTTCGAGGGTAGCTCGGAGGAGATCTGGCTCGCGGACGTAGCGCACTTAACGACGCTTTCGGCAATCTTCTTGAGAATCTCCGTACTCGTCAGCTCAACATTAGGCTCGGTTCTTTGACTTTGTTCTCGTCTGATGTCATGCACAACGGCGTTCGTGAACGCTCTGTCCGAACCGTTTCCTTTAATTCTCTTATGAGTGTTGTCCACGACATTGTTCGCTAAAAGACGCAATATAATTATTAATTATAAAAATACCTATAAAAACGTTATCTTTCTCGTTGCGTCTTTTTTATTCGCTTCAATAAAAGGCCGGACAATATTACCACTAACACGCACTATATACCCTGAGTAATCTAGATCATTGAAATCTTTCTTCCTTTTTTTATTGCACTGTAATAACTGTGCTCTTATCGGCGCTTGATTCAATTAATTTTCATTTGGTATATCAACACAGACTTGGATTATTTATTTCCTTTTGTTAGAAATTTAATTAGATAAGATTATTTTTTTAATTTCTTATTGGTAAGAATTAAGTAGGAATTTAAGACTTCTTATTAAGTAAGATTATTATATTCGTGCGCTCATGTGCGCGCGTTGACAGACTCATTCCTCTTAACTACACTTTCTTTCCACATTTCTCACTCTGACATTTCTTTCTCCCTCATTCCTTCCCGCCTATTTCCAACTATTAACACGTTGAGTGCCGCACTGATTTCTATTGATCATATAAACGTCTAATTGATGATTACATCGCTAAAGGTACACAATGTGTTAACACACAGGTAAACAAATATAATTCAAAGCACATATATCTCTTACCTCGTTTCATTGGCTCTTTATTGGCTATACGGTTCATTTGCAATGCAATTAATCATATTTTATGCACAATTTAACAAAACACAGTAATATCACAGTGCCAACGACTCTTACGGCATTCAACGTGTTAAAATCTGTCTCATTTTCTGTACGGAAAGCGTAACATAGAACAACTAAAAGAAACAGTCCACAGTCTCCTTAACAAATTACCTTCCTCGTGCATACCGCGCTTCATCGTAGTAGATGAGGACTGCTGGCTGACAAACCACTTCTCTAATGGTTTGTCCACGGCGGAAGACGTGTCAACGGTGTCCGACTGTAACCACGCGACGTCCCCGTCGAGACGCACATCAGGTACGTTTGCGAATACTTCTGGCGATAAGGAAGTGACATTGATAATTTTGATATTCATGACAGAGCTGATGTCCGAAAAAGCCTCCAAGTTGTCATTGCTCGAAGAAGTGGCAACTTGCGCGGATTCCTGCACGAGTTCCTGCACGGGTTCCTGTGTAGGTTTCTGCGCGAGTTCTCGCGTGGGTTCCAGCAGAACAGTCACGTCGGGTTGTTTCGAGGCAGCAGTTTTGCTTCTACATGGAATTTTCGATACGTTGGATTCTTTAATTCCGTCACGCTTCTTCGGTACTTTCTTCGCGGTAGCTTGAGCGATATTCCTCATTTGCAGTGGGTCGACCTCGCTTGTACTCTTCTCCGCGGAATTCTCCGTCAAGTCACTCGAATTAGACTCAAGACGCTTCGAACGAAACATGTTCGCCCACGCGAGCTGTATTGTTGGTATATTTATCTTGCATGGTAATGAGATAATCTGCAGCAAGGAAAATGAAGACAATGATCAATGTCAGGTTATCAGCGGTATATGCGATTTATCATTCATTCATTAAGTCCCATAATTTAGTTGAATATTTATAAAGCTAATTCATAGCGTTCCGAATTAAAAAAAAAAAAATGCAAACCGTTGTGTAAACGTGAATGTAACGATTGCTCTGTTATTTACCTCTACATCATCGTCATCACTTTCGATTGTAATAATGACGTTCTCCTCTGAATTCGACTGAGATTTCGCATCGTTGTCGAGGAACTTTTTCTCTTGCTTGCTCTGATCTGTATTATTCCTTTGCCATGAAATATTCGCCTTACTTTCTTGTGCAGAATTACTTTCTGTACTAGCTTCGTTAGTTGTACTCTTCGTGACAGTAGTGCTTGTAAGCGTGGACGCGCTAAATGGGACAAAACGGAAAGCATAAAACATTCCGTTTCGGCGTGCCGTGCAATCGAAAGGACTCACCGTGACGTGTCGTTCAGCAAATCAAGCATGCTGTTTGCTTTCAATTGCTGTTGTATCTTGAACGAACGTGGCCCAGGCCGCGATTTAATGCTCGAATTTAACAAGTCGCTAGATGAACTAGGGTTGGGTAACGAACACAATAAGGGGAAATCGTTGCCAACAGAGATGTCAGAATCGCTTTCGTCCAAATCAGAATCTCTGTTCAGACTAGAACTAAAGGCAAATTCAAAATAGACATTAGTCGTCACATATAGACAAATGCTAATTATATGATCGTAGATTCGAAATATACTTTTCTTTGAGATCTTTCTTCATTACCTGTAAAATTGAAAAGTAGTAAATACGGTGCATACCTGTCAGAACTATCGCCTGACCTGCCACTGTCATGACCTTTAGTCTTACCTTTATAGGAAAGAAAAATGAAATGTTTAATTTTATGCAAACTTGCAGACTAATACATATAATGTATGCCATATAGTTTTGTAATACATATATGTATATATATATATAGATTGGACCATGTTTTAATAGAGTAAGAGCACCAAAACCGACATACTACTTTATTCTTAGGTTCTTAAGTCCTGTTGAAGGTTTAAAATTAAAATTTATATGCATGGATACAAACTAGCAACACTTCTCTATCAAAATAGTCTTATGAAGATGATTACATATTTTCTGGCAAAAATCCATTTTTTGAGATGTTTGAGGATAAACACTTCTAAAAAGTAAGTCCTAAAACCAACATACCTATAATATACGTATCAAAAAAAAAAAAATAAAATAAATAAATAAATAAATGAAAACACTAAAATTACATTACTCTGCATATTTATTATATATCTTTATATATTATCTTTAATCTTACATATTTTTTAAAACTTAAAAAATGTATAATACATATTGTTCTTTTATTATGTGGAAAAGGACCTCCTTTTTCGACTATCTTAGATATACGCCGATCGCTCTTTGAACTTTTAATGATCGCCATTTCGAGCTCGCTATTCGCGCTGGCTGCACTGAAATGTGTGAACGAGCTCACTTATTCGCGCCTTTCGTATCGCTCGGTCGATTCAGCTCACTTTATTTTTCGAAACACGAATGCCGCGTGAAACTCGAAGAGCTTAGTTTAGCTATACGGATGTTATGCATACAGCAGTCGTTTGTCAAACGGTGAGGGCTCGATTTACCCAGGATTGTGCAGCACTGTTCAGCGCCCTCGCATAGCAAACAAAACGCGCGAGGATCTCTTTGTATTCGGAGGATTCTAGGTATCCAAACAAAAGAAATGACCTTTAATATATACAATGGCTTTTGTATATGGGCATCCTTGTAAAAAAAAATTAACCGATTCGTTAGACCTTCATAAAATGGTTGTCCTGAAAGTTGTAAAGACCCGGAGCGAGATTCGCGCTAAATATTAATAACAAATAATAATACACCTCATGAAATTTTCTCCATTTCTGAACGCTCTAGATTTGCTCTTTAATTTTCCTCAGAAAATAGTTCAATAAAAACTTCAGCACAACATAAAATCAAACGACGCTAATAACAACTGAAAGCACTTGTAAATAAAAACTGCAACTTTAGCACCAATTACCGTACACAACAGACAAAATTCATGTTCTATCCGACAGAGTTGAATATTTTACAGCCGAGAAAGATGGATATGTCGGTTTACCATATCTATGTCAGTTTTAATGCTTTTCCTGTATACGACAATTATTTCAGTTGTTTCTCGTTTATTTATTCTCAATTGTCCTCAAAAAAGTGAAGAATGGGGAAAATAAGCAATAAAAATAATTGAAATCATACGTTAGAATTTCCTCTCTATATATTCCTACAAATCAAGCAGGTACTCACACAATATGGAAGTACATTCGACGCATTCCCACAAGGGATTCGCCCATTTCAGTTTTCCGCAAGCCATATGAATGCCTTGTGAGCCGCAACTCCGACACAAGACCAATTCCCATTTACTGTAATGTTTATTGTTATAATAATATATTTTATAAGAACGTCCAGTATATACATATCAGGTATCATAAAGTTTTAGTTTCGTGCAATTACTTACGCGTTACTGCTTGTGTGTTTCCTTCCCTTTGGGCACAGACACAATGTGGCATCACATTGATCATGTCTATATAATAACTCTTCAAATGCATTTGGTACCAATTCCCATGAAGCATCCCTGATTACACATCATAAAAATAACTTTTAAAATGTACACAATTGAAATAAGATATTCGCAAAATTTAAAAGAGCGTCTTTCATATGAAAAAAAAAATAAATAAAGACCGACTTCAACATTTTAACTGAATACTCACTGGCTCGGTATAAAAATACCATGTTGCAGCATAGCATTTTGAAAATCTTTCTTATTGTTACATAGGGGACACTTAAAAAAATAGCCTGCACTTAAAGCAAGTTGCTGAAATGAGAAATTGTATACATTATATATTCATGTTATAAACATCACATTTGATAAAAGCATACATTGGAATATTAATAATTTACATTAAAATTACATTAAAATTACATTAAAAGAAGTAACAACGGCAATCAATAAATCTCACGGATGAAGCTTTCATTGAGACTAACCTGAACACATTTACGATGAAACCATGCATCCTTTTTACAGCAAGGAGCCCATAAGGTTCCTATAAGATCTTTGGGGTTTGCTTTATCATAACATATATAACATAATAAGTCACATATTTTATTAATCTGATTCGATATATATTCGTCAATTTTCTGCCTCGGCCTATGATTTACACAAAATGATCTAAAACATCACGATTACAATTGTTGTATAATCCTGCAGTTCTTACAGTTATGACATCGGTATAATGAATATTGCTCTACTATTGCTCCTTACTTGAATTCTCCAAAAAACTGATGTAAAGAACCAGCTTTTAAGCCACAAGGGTAATGAAATATGCGTTTACATTTTACATTGCAACAACCTAAAGTAGCACCAATCTTTTTGCAGTATGAACAAACCTAAAAACAAATTCAAATCTTAGGCTGCTAACTGTGAGAAAACTTTTATTTACTAAAGACAAGTTTGATGAGAATGAAAATATATTTATAGTGAGTCTTGTAAATATTATGCAACTCAATGCTGAATTTCTAACAAATTATTCTATTACATTTATATCATATGTGTAAGATATAATATATAACATAACAATATCCTTTTAACATATTATTATATGAAAAATTATGAACTACATAAAAGTAATACAAAGAGATGTATCAGACTATTATATCAACTGCAATATATCATTATTCAAGAGATATAGTGGCTTATATGTAAGATTAAAGACTACATATTACATGTCTGCATGTATGTTTTTTCTCACGTTCGAAAACTAATATTTGTTACTATTGACAAACGTACCAATTTCTTTCCTCTGCGAAGTTCCTTATGTATATCCTGTGCTAGAAATCCAAGTATACCCTCATCATCATTTCCTTTTTGTTCCATATTAGATGATAAAAGCTAAAAGTACCCATATATATAAATAACCAGTGAAATAAACATAAACATCAAACATCCTATGGACTGTTCTGTTTGTCGGATGTATACGTGTGTGTTGTTTGAACAATACAATAACAGAGACAGAAACAAACTTCTTCTGATCCAACATGAGTAGCATGTAACAAAGCAAAGGTCGATAGTTGTATCTGAAACTCACCAGACAATAATAATGGGTGACAATGCCATCCTGCTCATAGAACTTGCCATATTCCAACTCGTTGTCTTCCGATGAATTGCAAAAGCAGCAGACCTTGGTAGAAGAGGTGATACTAGTTGTAGAAGAGGATGAATTGCGTTTGCTAGCAGACATTATGCCTGACAACAGAAGATCACAGAAGGGACTATCAGAACCGGACAAGACGGAAGCGTATTGGAAGACGATCGCCAGTGTACGCTTTCGCGCCTCGCACTCGCGATCTGTGCGACCCAACACGGGTGATCGCGCGGTACAATTGATAAACATAATGAACGGACACATTCCGCTATCGCGGACTACAACACATTCAGTCGACATTACCTGGCTGTCGTGTTGAGGTCGCCTGTCCCGTGGTACATGAAGACAACGAGCAAACGCACCGAATATCGCGATATCAAGATGATCTCGCGGGCAATACGTACGGACGTTGCACCTGCGACATGTTTAACATGCGTATCCACGTACGTTGTGTATATTTTAAAGAAACGTAAACAAAACTTTTCAAATGATATCAGTGTGGTCCGTTAACATCGTCCCGACGATCTCAAAATCGCCGACATGTTACAGCATCGAGCTGACAACCGCTTTGAGAAGCATATCGCAGATAGCGGGAAACCATTAGTTTTCATCACAGCCCTCACAGACGAGATCGCTGCGGCACTGCTTCGGCTTTGTTAGTGGAGGACGCTTTTGAATATTTAAGCTCGACGTGAATGAAGCTGATTCTATTTGGAGGGAAACACGGTATGACGACGATTAACGACTCAACGCTGATTGGGTCGAATTCAAACATGGAGCACCAAGGTAGACGGGATAAAATACAAAGGGTTTCCAACATAGATACGTGTGATCTGTTCTTCTTAGCTACATTGCTGAACTGGTTCAATAAGCTAGAATGAGACAAGTATATTTTGTCCAGCTCTAAAACCTGATCTACAATGTGCTCTTTTTTCTTGCTCTCTATCTTTTTTCCATAAATAAATAGTAGTTCACAATAGCTAGTTTAAGCCTTAAAAAGTTGCCTAATCACAGTCGAACGTGAGGAGAATAATTAACTGTGATTGGTCAATTTCTTAAAGCTTAAGGCTTAAAATACCTATTGTAGGCCGACACTAGAAGTTCTTACGGAAGAAAGGTAGAGAGCAAGATACAAGACGCAAAGAGCACACTGTAGACCAAACTTAAAGCCTGATTTACAATGTGCTTTTTGCGTCTTGGTTTTTGTTTTTTTACTTCTTGACTCACTGTTTTACCGACAATTGTGTATTTCGTTACTTATTTCTTGCCTCTACCGGAGTTCGTTAACTTTTATCTTGGGCGACAAGGAACACAAGAGGCACAAGAGTTAGTCAGCCTGTAAAACGAAAACTGTCTTGTTCTGTGATTGGTGCGAAGTAATAGAAGAAACAAATTGTACACGACGACGTTTCTCGACTCTTGGCGACAAGAAGATAAGAAACGAGAAACAAAAGGCGAAAATCTCCTGACTCAGTGCAACAGTTCACTGAACTGCCTGCACTACATGCTGTTGCACTGCGAAAACGAACAGCGTTGATGACGTCATGATGACGTCATTCTTGATAAAAAGAACGCTTTAGTGTAAGGTCTGTTCGTTTTCGTTGCATCGCCGAACTAGTGCAATAAGTTGAAGTGAAAACAATATACTTGTCTCTTTTCAACTTATTGCACTAGTTCAGCTGTGCAGCGAAAACGAACAGACCTGTAAACTTCTTGCACTGGTGTGCACTAGTGCAGAAAGTGTTTCGAAAAAAAAACAGACCTAAGACCTCTATCTCTTAGTGCCATTGAATAGTGTGGTGTAAGATCAAATAATTCTTATTTGACGAATGAATTGCTAACATAATGATCATATTACAAATTATCAAAAAAAACATTGTTTTAGTATTAAATCTCAAATTTAACTGTTACTTTTCCGAGCAAACTGTTGGAGGTTATGGAATTGTCCTCTCATAACCTCACATAATTGCATCTCGTTTGATGTGATGTAGAAAATAACAACATTTTATCATTTCGTTATTTAATTATTAAATCTCAATATGTCGATTTTTTTTATTCTCTCTCTCGTTAACTGTTATTTACGTTATCTAGGTATACCATCACAATGAGTGACGAAAACATAGTGAAAACTGTCCTACATGTAGGAACAAGAACTATTAATTTTACACCAGGAACAAAAGTTTGTAATTTTATATTTGTTCTTATAATCATAATATAATTAATTATAAAAATTGTAAATTTGTTAGTTGAATAAGTGTGTGCATGTGTATATCAAAATTTCAGGTTATATTTCATTTTAAAACTACAAAATGTAATCACGATAAAGCAGTAATAGATGACAGTAGGGCAATGGGAAGTCCAATGGAACTGGTATTAGGGAAACAATTCAAACTTGAAGTGTGGGAAGTGATTGTACAAAAGATGGCGTTAAATGAAGTTGCTTGTTTCAAAGTACATAAGAATGTAAGTTTGTAGTACTTATTGTTATAACTGTACATTTGGAACATGTTCTTATGACAAGCTTTGTTTTAGCTAGTGACTACATATCCTTTTGTGTCTAAGACATTAAGAGAGGCTGGCAAGCCACAATTGCAAAAACTTAACCATCATTGTTGCGGTGTTACTTTACAAAATGAAGGCATTGGTTATACTGATTTAAACGATCTTATAAAATATCCTCAAGACTTAGAATTCACTATAGGTATGATATAATATAACACATAAATATATATTGTACTTCAAAATTTCTTAACCACTAAAATCTTTTATATTTGTAATACTCTTTATACACATGGCATTCATTTATTTTGTAATCCTTGGAAATATAAAGATATATTATTGTTTGAACTCGATTATATAATTTATAAGAAGCAAAGCTAACAAGAACAATATTATTTTATCTCATAGAACTCATTAAGGTGGTTTTGCCAAATGAATATGAAAAGGAATCCTGGCAAATGACGGAGGATGAAAAGCTTAAAAACATTCCACATTTAAAGGAAAAAGGAAATGTCTTTTTCAAGGAGAAAAAATACGATAGTGCATTGGAAACATATGCAAAAGCTATTGGAATGTTGGAGCAACTCATGCTAGCGTAAGACTTGCTTATAATAACTTTTAATGATTTGCTTAATAACGTTTTAATGACATCTCCAATGTCAATAGTATGTCATTAAGATATCTTATACATCATAATGTTTACCTAGGATATTACATCAACTATATAATTATAATTACAATATAATTACAATACAATATAATTACATCGACTATATAATATCACTTAAAATGAAACATTCTGTATATATGTGTGTGTATATGTGTGTACGTGTGTATATATATAAATATTTTCAGGGAAAAACCAAACGATGAGGAATGGTTATCTTTAAATCAAATGAAGATACCATTACTTTTGAATTATGTACAATGTAAATTATTAAATAAGGAGTACTATTCAGTTATCGAACATTGTACAACAGTCTTGAAAACAGAGCCAGGTTATACAACAAATACTATGATACCGACAGCAAATTTCGCGAAAATAATGTCTGATAAATAAATGTATTTTCAACATTGCAGAGAATGTAAAGGCACTCTATCGACGAGGTAAAGCGTATATTGGTGTGTGGGATGAAGGAAATGCCATTAAAGATTTAAGGAAAGCTGCTGGAATAGATCCTCTGTTACATAATACCGTCGAGAAAGAATTACAGGCATTTGCAACAGCTATAAAAGAGAAGAACGTTGCACAAAAAGAGAAACTAGCAAAATTATTTAAGTAATATATATACATATATATATATATATATTCTCTTTACACAAATGTACCCGGAAGTATAATTCATGTTATATATACTATACTTCAGGGTGCATCTGAATAGAGAATCGGAACGCGCCTATAGCTGAGATGGCTAAAAGTGATCCATTATTTCAAGAATAAATTTGTGATTCTCCGTGACACATTGAATAGATATATCTCAGTTTATCGTATTTTATAGGTTTCAGGATTAAACCAAATTATTATGTTTTTCAGGGCAAATTAGAAAATAAGGCTATATACCGCAAACAATTTATTACATATCATTTCTCCTGTAGCGTCACAAAATTAGCCCGACTGTCTGAGATAGTCGAGCCTTAAGGTCGATACTTAACGTGACTTAAAGCATTACAGACATTTCTGTGCGAAGGCCTTGAGAATCATACTTCCAAGTTATTGAAACAACATGAGTTCTTAAGTATTCGCGTCGATTAATCAAATTCAACAATGTTTTTTTTTTAATCGTGTTTCTTTTATTTATAAGAAACGAGAGGGGCTAATAGTTCCGTACTAATTTTTTATTATGAAATTCATAAATGTGAGAATAGTACATGCATAATATTGTTAATATATATTTATATAATTCTTCATGGTACGAATATTTAAAAATTAATTTATGTATATTGATGTAGTTAAGAGAATATCATAACATTGATATCATATTTAAATGTATTGTAAATATGTATGTTGTATTGTTTTATATTTTACTTTATTTTGACAAACTGATAATGTATTTGTTACTTATTGTTGTTACAAGTAAGTCTACTTAATAAACAGTGTTTATTGTTATTACTTACCTTGTATGAAATTTGAATTAAGTCTACGAATATTACTGTCGTGTGAAAATCTCTCATTCGTGCATAGACATGCGCGCGGTCTATGCGTGCGAAAGAGAATGCAAGGGGCACAAAACAGAATGCATCCCTTTCTACGTACACCTTGAGCCCCACTCCTCAGATAAAGACAAACGCTCGGTCTATGCTGCATTCTCTTTGGGTGTGTAAGTGTCATTTTATCTTCTTTTGGCATATGATAAACAATAAAGATAGAATAACGCTTAAGCCCGTATTAGACTATAGATTGAAAATTGAGACTGAATTGAAATTTGACCAATCAGTGTAGAATTCACCAAATTTCACTAAATTTGAGTTTAATTAATTATAAAACTAATTGGTTAAATTCAATTCAATCACAATTCCCAATCCATAGTCTGATATGGGCTTTATAGCGCGTGAGCGTCCAAAGAGAACGCAGCCCTAGAGTTGCGCTCCGAAATTCATTGCCAGTGCTAAAAATCTACGGTCGGTATTCGTAGTCGAATCTTATATTTAAGACCGTCTTAAGTTTATCTGCAGATGTTGTATGGATCGTTTCATTGGCTACGAAGTATCTAAAGATAAAGTTAAAACTGTCCTAAATATAAGATCGTATACCAGCCATTTGCAGTACTGGCAGCGCATATCAGAACGCAGCCTAGACATTCATATCTACCTGGAGCACCATCTGCAGGACGTGATTTCGAGGTTATCTACTGATCACGTTGGGTATGAAATCGTCGAACCAACAGCGACAGGAATATGTTTGACATATGGTATAATTTACTCTGCAGTTCGACGAATAAAAGTAAAACATGAATTGGATAACTTTTTTAGGAATATAATCGTGCAATAAATGTAAGAGCAAATTTATAACTTTCTTGTTACTCTTATATGTTGTGTCATATGAGATGCCGTCGTGAATTAACCTATATAAGTCTTTTTTTTCTGTAGAATAATCACGTTTGTTTTTTAACAATCAAAATGTTAACCTCTCTTATATGCTTCCTAAATATTGGTATATTTATACGTAAAAATTAACTTTCACACATGGAGATAAGACGTATATTGTACGCATGTGATTTTAATTTACAAGTTTTAATTTCGTAGTATATATACATACGTATATATACACACAATGGGAGTCTTATTTATATTACATGTTTTTATATCTTTATTTCTTTTTTCAGATAAGACAAAAATATAGTTGTCAAAATGAAGCTAGTATCAAGATATGTAGATAAGGATGGAGAAGGGTAAGTATATTTGATATATATTTTCTAACATATTCCCTAAATTTATCAACTTAATATTAGAGTTTATGAATCTTTATGAATATTTATGAAGGAGTGTGGCTCTTGTTCCTGAGAATACAGAAGATATGTGGCATGCCTATAATCTCATTAGCGAAGGAGATTTTGTAAGCTGTTCCACTTTCAGGTATACCTTGGACTTTTTGTTTTATGATAATTGTACTATGTTTTATTTATCAATATTACCTTCTGTCAATTTTCTCTATACTCAAATAGGAAAGTGCAAATGGAATCTGCAACTGGTAGTTCCAACAGCTACAGAGTTAGAACCACTCTTAAAATAAGTGTAGAGAATATTGACTTTGATACACAAGCATGTGTTCTGAGACTTAAAGGTAGAAATGTGGAGGAAAATAAATATGTTAAGGTATTGTTAAGCGACAGTGTTTAGAGTCCATTTACAATATTTAAAATTGATAATTCACATTAACACCATATCGGAATCTACAGTAGTCTCTTAATTTTTGTCTTGCGCAGACAGGAGCATATCACACGCTCGATGTAGAGCAAAATCGGAAGTTTATTATTACTAAAGCTAAATGGGATTCGATCTCTTTGGAAAGAGTCGACATTGCGTGTGATCCTGCACAGGTGCATAACTTTTTCAAAGAACGGGCTCACGTATGTGTGTTGCGCTGTAACATTTGCTTCCTTTTAGAATGCCGATGTAGCCGCTGTTATTATGCAGGAAGGTATAGCACATATTTGTTTAATAACTTCCAACATGACAATAGTACGCGCAAAGATCGATCAAGTTATACCGAGGAAGAGGAAGGGGAATGTTTCGCAACACGAAAAGGTTCGAGATGATTACGCCAGCACTATAAATATCTTCTATGACAGGCATGAGATTCAGGTATAAGATTCTAATTTGGACCTCTGTTTAGGGCTTGGCACGATTTTACGAGAGCATCATGCAGGGCATATTAAGACACATCAACTTTGACCTGGTGAAATGCGTTATTCTTGCCAGTCCGGGTTTTGTGAAAGATCAGTTTATGGACTATATGATACAGCAGGCTGTTAAATTCGATAATAAGCTTATCTTAGAGAACAAAAGTAAATTTCTGCTAGTTCATGCCAGTTCGGGTTTTAAACATTCACTGAAAGGTAATGTATGCGTGTATGCGAAATATGAACGTGCAATAGCACTGGCAAATACTTGCATCTGTTTGTTGTTTGTTACTTACGTTATGATTCGTTGTAACAGAGGTATTGGGCGATCCCGCTGTAGTGTCTCGGATTTCTGATACCAAAGCAGCGGGAGAAGTAAGGGTTCTAGAAGCATTTTATACCACTCTACAGACTGATCCTGCTAGAGCATTCTACGGCAAGAAACACGTTGAGAAAGCTGCCGACGCTCAGGCAGTTGAAACCTTACTTATATCGGATAAACTGTTCAGGTGATTTGATCCGATCCTTTCGCCGTCCGCTCCACCAGTGCTGATTATATTCTATAACACATTTGTTGTGCCTGTATTTATTGCTCAGATGTCAAGATATCGTGCAGAGGAAGGAATACGTTGAATTGGTTGAAAATGTCAAAGATTCAGGTGGCGATATCAAGATATTTTCAAGTCTGCATGTCTCGGGTGAACGTAAGTCTTATGCAAATCATCTCTACCAAGCTCGGAGTAACTCGGAGGAACTTTCGAAAAATTGCATAAACTATTAATTTATCTCGGTTTTAATTAGCGCTAAGGTACGGTTTGATTTTCAGAATTGGATCAGCTGACCGGAATAGCAGCTTTGTTACGTTTTCCTATGCCGGAATTAGAAGACGAGAGCGATGACGGCAGCGACTTGGAGAATGATTAGTTGAGCCAGTGATATGTTACTATGTAATTTTGTATATACTTATGTTGTGCGCAATCAAAAAAAAACCATTAATAATAAAAAAGAATGATAATCTTCGTATTTATTTCACAAATGCAACGATCTCGTCTATTTTTTTTTTTTTTTTAATTCACCACGTCGCCAGATTGAGAAGCTACGACAAATTTCACTAAGTCCTTTCCGGTCGTGCCGATCATTTCCATCTTATAAATTGTCTTACATACGTTAAGTACAATGTAATACGCGTCGGGTTCTATTACGCGGCTGAATCGAATCTTACGCGATGCAGGGGCCATTTATGAGGCCACGCTTTCCCGATTGGCCTACGGTACAGTTATGCGTAATGACAGATGCTTTTTATCTAGTCCTCCCACTGGAAGCCCACGCGCATCGACGATCCTGGTCTTTTCCAGCGAAGGACTCTGAAGGCCAGTCTGCCCACGCGTATTGGCCCACGCGAAACTTTCTACATGCATGTGTGCCCGCGTCGTCCGACCACCACGCGTTCGCATATCCGTACGTACGAATATGATAACTAGCAAGATCGAAAGATCATCTCGCCGTTATAAAATCCGGACGATCACAATGACTCCTTTTTATCGGCCGAAACATCGCACGATCCGAACGATGCTCGCTCCTCCTCGAGATGCGCCTTTATCGTGCCTCGAATTCCCGAAGGTGTCACCGGGAGATCCCCGAGCGCGGAGAACGTTGCCTCCCTTCGTCCGGTTTATAACGCCGATTACTTGAGCAATTACATTTTACAACAGCCCCGAGTGCCCCTTTCACGTACCGATGTGATCTTCGCACGCAACGGCGCCGTCGAGGCCGTACGTTGATCTTGAGATCCGCTCCAGAGATTGGAAGGCTGCTTTGTAATGGGCCACGGTTCTCTTATTAGGTCGCCGCTAGACCGGCGCACCGCCGATCATGCTCGTAATCGTCCCCCCCCCCCCCCCCCCCCCC